CTACAAGGATAAAGTTTTAAGAAGATATATATTTTGATTTGTAAATATATCATACAAGACCTTTTAAAGGTCTTTAAATGGGTCGTGACAGCTGTTCAGCGGTTCGCATTGCATTTTTGACAAAATAGCCCAAACTCTTGTAAACCTGGAAGTGCCGCTTATAGCGGGCGAAGATAGAGAATTGGAGGAATTGAAATAAAAGGATGAAGCTTTACGATGATGTACATTATGTTTTGTAAGTATATATGACAGACCTGCTCATAGGCCACTGAAGTTGACCTTTATTTCACCTCAGCGAAAGAGACGCGAAGTACTCTATTCAGACTTGAACGTAACAAAATTACAACAAATTAATATTTTCTAAGAGATAAAAGAACCATCTGCTAGTACACAAAATTTAAAAGCGGGATTGCATCGCGTTGTAGCGTACGAAGTTGCAAAAGTTGTATCATTTTTCATTGCTTTAAGGGGAGGACAATGGCCATTTAGGCGTATTTCGAACTTTTCGATTTTTCGGAGAAAAAAAAAGCGCTCTAGAACTTTTTGATATAATTTCCGAAAAAGGTTCATTAAAAGAATCCTTTAGAAAAAACAAAACGAATTACGAAATTTTGCAACTGTTGGCGGACTCTCGATATTTACATAGTTAAATTGCGGTCAGTAAACAGATTGGTCACCAGGCAAGAATAAACTTTCTTTGAGTGAGAATCGGAAGAATAAATTATAATTTTTAACTGGCTCTTACTCAGGTTCCACTCGGTTCGTCGGAAAAATAAAATAGAAATTGAGACATGTCAGTTTCCGTTCTGTTTCGCCAATTTCTGTTTCGCTTTCTTGGGGTGTTCTAAATTCCGTTTTGTTTACTCAACTTTTGTTCTAACTTCCTAAATCGTATTCTGTTGGTCCAATTTCGATTGTATTTTTATGAGAAAAGAATTTGATAAAAAGCAATAGCATACAGGTTCTTCAAAACAGAATTTGAAACAGGATATTGGCGGAGATGACCCCTCATACCATTTTGCCCTCCCTTTAGCTTTTTTAGCTTTCAACTTTCCCGCGAAAACAAACAAAATGGCGGCGTCAGGCTGCAAGGAGCTTGGATCCGATACGAGTGATTTGAATTGTGGGTAGATTATAACAACAGTTCGATATAACGACATACGTACTGCACAAAAAGACAAACGTACTGCATATGACGACAAACGTACAGCATATAACGACAAACGTAATGCATATTACAACAATCGCACTGCATATAACAACAATCGCAGTGCATATAACGACGAACGTACTGCATATAACGACAAACGTAATGCATATATGGACAAACGCACTGCATATAACGACTAACGCACTGCATATAACGACAATCGTACTGCGTATAACGACAATCGTACTGCATGTAACGATAATTGTACGGCATATAACGAAGAAATCATAGCTTGTAATAAAGAAAATTGACAAAAGACAGTCCTGGCGTTCCATACTCACGGAACAGCGTACGCAAGTGGAAAGTTTCAAACATGCGCAGATGACGTCCCTTATTATGTTTACTTTTCCCCTCTACGCTTTTAAAACTTTACCGTTGAATATCTTATCAAAACACATAGTCTCTGGTAGTTTAATACTTAAACCGCGAAGACTGCGACGAAGTGAAGGATTCTACCGTGTTATTTTTTTTTTTTCATCGACTTAGTGGTAGAAATGCTATTTTTTCGTACTGTTTTGTCATTCACTGCGCGTGGTGTTTATTATTTGGAATTTCGAAACGGACAAGTTTAAGAATTGGCATTGTAGTTTCAAAGCAAATTGAGGTTTGGAGTCTATTGTTGTTCTTATGAAAGTTATTATTTTCATGTTTTTGACGCGCGCTCGAGATGTTATGGAGGAATGAAATATATCGACTGAGCTGAGTAAAGCAAGCGCACGATGCTCGAGGTAAGATATAAATTAGGTTATCTTGACCCTATCTTGGGGCCGGGGTTGTTGGTGGTAATTGGTCAATTAGCTTGCATTCAATATCGCCCACCCGAGATCGAGAGTGAACTCCAGTTTATTCGTCAACAGGAACCAAGAGCAGTTTATCAATCACTTCTCGGTTACTCGTTGGTACTATTGATGAGGTTCGACTGATATCGATTGTTAAATCAATGCTTATTTCATTTGGGCGCTTTGAATGTGGAGGATCGACCAATTACGCTGATTCTTTTTAGACCACACTGCATATTCAATAATTTGTGTTGGTCCGCGTATAGAGGCTATGACAAGTTGCCTGTACGTGAAAAAAAATTCCATCGGTGTAGATATTTAATAGTTAGAAGAAAAACGTTGAAAGACGTTGAAAGGGGAGAGAGGATTCATTATGGGTCAGATTTGTACTACTTATCTTTACACGGATTAAGGAAAGACAGGATAATGAACTTGGCACATTTTTAACAGTTCCAGTGTTTAAATCTATTACTGTTATACATTGTACACTAACTGGCTGTATCACTTAGCTTTGCCCTTCCTGTACAAAATGATTCACTTATTATGTACAAGAGCACCCATACACAAGTCCTGTACTTATCGCATTAAAAGTTACCTAGTACTAATGATATGTTAAATTATACATGTGCAACAGTATAATGATCTAATTTACATGTAGTTAAAATTAATATTACATTTATTATGGTCTTAAACTGCTGTATTGAAGTGACAGCATTTCAATGTTTGTTTAATATTCTACTAAGCTACAGTCATGCATAACAATTTAAAATCAGATATATTACAACTTCATTTACCCACTGTTCATTTTGAATGTAATGTACATTTCATTTAATTCAAGATCCAATAAAACATGATTATACACGCATGTCTCAGCTTTGGCTCCATGCACTTTACTTAAAGTGGGT